GGGGGGGGGGGGGGGGAGACCTAGCCAAGTGCTTGCTCTGCAAATTGAAGTCTTCTGTTAAGCTAGGTCTTTTTTGCAGACTGCTTCATACTTTCTTAGTAGCATGATTTGACCTTGACCATGACATTGCTTGTTCATCCCAGGGCTACCCTGATTAGTCTGAGAGTTGTGATAGTTTTGCTGGCATGTCAGCTAGGGACTAAATTAGGGCCTCTAACACACTGAATATAGGTCATCAAGCAATTGTGTAATGCATGATAACAAGTTATTTCCTTGGCTTGCTGTTGGCTTGAGTTCAGTTCACACCTGAATAAGAGCTTTATGGAGATGAGCCAAAACCCACTCTAGTCAGCAGGCAGCCTTTTACTGACACTAGTTGACTTTCTAGCTGACCTTTCAGGACATTATTAACACCTTAAAGATGAGTGGTATATCACTCCTTTAATTATGTTTTTTCCATCAATGAAGAAGAAGACACCTGTGAAAGCGTTGTTTCTACAGTGGTAATTGTCAGGGAGCTTCTGCATTTCTTTCTGCTACTCTCTGTTTTCTGTATGCAGGCTCTAGTCGGCTTCACTTTCATCTTTGGCAAAGCAAACAACTTAAAAACATGTTCCCTTTTGCTTTCACTGTTGTTTTTGAAGGGATTTTTCATCTTGTGGGACTTTTCCTCTCTGAGTACTTTAAGTCTAATATTGGTCTCACAACCCACGCTGTTCCTCCCACCTACCTACCTACCATTGCTCATGTGCCTACTCTTCTAAGAAAGGGTTTTCATTATTACCAATGTTTCTTTTTATATAAGGGATAACTTTTGAACAGCACAACCGTGTCATATCTCCTTTACGTAATACAAATTTATTTTCCTGGTTTTGCTGAGGTTTTTTTCTGGCTATACCTTACAATCTCCCTCCTACAATATTCCTCCCATGCCATGGTTTCCATGTGGTTACAGCACATGTGTCAAATGCTGTGGTACCATTCTGAATAAAGCACAGCTTGCTGTGATCTTGAAATACACACCTCCGCTGCTGCACTCTCATTATCCTACCAGGAAGCAAGCAGCTTTTTCTCTCTGTCTTTACTGGCAGTATCCTCTTGGTGTTTAATCTTCCAGTCTAGATAAACTGATCCAGCTGAAAAAAAAAAAAAAAAAAAAAAAAAAAAACCATTCCTGAAAAGAGGCAAAAGTTTATCTTGCACTTGTAAGCAGATGGAAAATGAACTGGTTAGCTAACTTCTAAAGAAGGTTCAGGCAACAGATAACTGACATTTCTATTACAGCTGAGATTGTTTCGGGACATACTGCTTCACTATCTATACTGTACCTTGTTTATGTTTAGTCTGGTTTTCATTGGAAAAAAAGTACGGAATTACATTGTCTGTCCATATACAACCTGTCACCTCCACCTCCCAGTAGCTTTTGTATCCATTGGCCAACTTTAACCAAGTTTCCTAGAGAGACTGAAGTCTGAAAGATACGAAGCTCCAGCAAAATTTATGTAGATCTGTAGCTGGATAATGCAGAGAAAGATCTGCAGTCATCCTTTGCTATCTCTTGAAGGATTGCAAGTAGCTGGTGAGTTAGCACAAGATATAACTTGATGGCAGCACTTTCCCAGCCTAAAAGATGAGGAATATGGGAGGGACTGGAAAACTCTGTTGAGGACAAGAAGTCTAAGAGCACGTACTCACTGCTTAAAATATGGGTTCAGATTCTGCTTCCTAACGCAATATTGATCCTACTGTGGGGACTTCTGCCACTTGAGTCTTCTGCACTTCTTTTTTTAATTATTTTTTTTCTAATATATTACAGTACTTAATGGTAGCCCATTTGTGGACATTTTACATGATTTTTGGGTTAAATACGTTTACAGAATTGTTCCTTTGAACTCCTGTTTGATCATACAAACTTTTCTGAGACGTTATACTCTCTGATCACCACTGTATTGACAATTTCAATTGGCTTGATGCTTTGCAGATGCATTTGTAGAACTCATATAAAAAGGACAGAAAAAAGAACAGAAACTAGTTTTTTTTCTTAACAAATCTTAACTTTTGAGGTATTTTAATAGACCTTATCATGGTTTTCCAGTCAGCTGTGACTTAAAGAAACAAAATTATAAACACATTTTTCAATGACCACCAAGTTACACCACTATGATGAAAAGAGTATGTGAGCATATAAGCAAAAAAACATTAGGCTTTTCTCCTTTTTATTCCATTGTAAAGAATTAATCTGTGTAACTTCCATCATAGCTACATCTGTTCCTGTGATTTACTGCATAGATGAGTGATACTTAGAATAAACCAACCAATTCCTAACTTTAAAGTTTATCGGAGACATTCCAAAAATGAATCCTCAAAATCAGTGCATGTTATTCGTGTACACCCAGGCTTGCATTTTAATGTGTAAATACAAATAGCTTAAGTACTTTCCACTGGTATGTTTATGGGAATCTGAAAATAAAATTGTTTTGAAAACCTCTGTGCCGTTTTTCTTAATATCCTATAAAATCACAGTAAACAATCAAGATCAATTAAGAGGCAGAATCTGGTAGCAAATTTAACAACAGTGACAAAAGCAAGAAGAAAGAGGTAGATCTGATTTATACATCCTGAATTCCAACTTTTCATCACCGGTCTGAGAATTGATCAGGTCAATTCCTGGAGGACAAGCCTTCAAGCTAGGGTCAACCTAGGTTACAACTCTGCGAGGATGACTTGCCAAAAAATTCCATCCACCCCATTGTTGCATAGTATAAGATATTTCAGATAAAAAGTCCCCTGATCCTTGTAAAATTCAGGAAATTGCAGTCAAAATTGTTTTATAATCTGCAAAGCTCCCAAATA